GATCATCCAGACCCGGCAGCTTGGCTAAATAACCTTGGAATCCAGCTTGGTCGCCGATATGAACGGACTGGGGAGATAAGAGATCTCGAAAGGGCGATTGAGAAAATTCGACAAGCTATAGCATCCATCTCAAACGACCATCCAGACTGGGCAGGCAGATCAAATAACCTTGGAATCCAGCTTGGTCGCCGATATGAACAGACTGGGGAGATAAATAACCTAGAAGAGGCGATTAAGAAAATTCGACAAGCTATAGCATCCATCTCAAACGATCATCCAGACCCGGCAGCTTGGCTAAATAACCTTGGAATCCAGCTTGGTCGCCGATATGAACGGACTGGGGAGATAAATGACCTAGAAGAGGCGATTGAGAAAATTCGACAAGCTATAGCATCCATCTCAAACGATCATCTAGACCCGGCAGCTTGGCTAAACAACCTTGGAATCCAGCTTGGTCGCCGATATGAACGGACAAGGGAGATAAATGACCTAGAAGAGGCGATTGAGACAACTCGACAAGCTGTAAAATCCACCCCATACGATCATCCAGACTGGGCAGGCAGATCAAATAACCTTGGAATCCAGCTTGGTCGCCGATATGAACAGACTGGGGAGATAAATGACTTAGAAGAGGCGATTGAGAAAATTCGACAAGCTGTAAAATCCACCCCATACGATCATCCAGACCCGGCAGCTTGGCTAAACAACCTTGGAATCCAGCTTGGTCGCCGATATGAACGGACTGGGGAGATAAATGACCAAGAAGAGGCGATTGAGAAAATTCGACAAGCTATAGCATCCATCTCAAACGACCATCCAGACCGGGCAAGCATATTAAATAACCTTGGAATCCAGCTTGGTCGCCGATATGAACGGACTAGGGAGATAAATGACCAAGAAGAGGCGATTGAGAAAATTCGACAAGCTATAGCATCCATCTCAAACGATCATCCAGACCCAGCAGCTTGGCTAAACAACCTTGGAATCCAACTTGGTCGCCGATATGATCGGACTAGGGAGATAAATGACCTAGAAGAGGCGATTGAGACAACTCGACAAGCTGTAAAATCCACCCCATACGATCATCCAGACTGGGCAGGCAGATTAAATAACCTTGGAATCCAGCTTGGTCGCCGATATGAACAGACTGGGGAGATAAATAACCTAGAAGAGGCGATTAAGAAAATTCGACATGCTATAGCATCCATCTTAAACGACCAGCTAGACCCGGCAGCCTGGCTAAACAACCTTGGAAACCAGCTTGGTCGCCAGAATGAATGGGCTGGAGAGAGAAAAGAATTCGAAGAGGCCTCAATTGGATTGGTTTTTAACCCGCATACAGAGTTGCTCGGAGCTGATAACCCTATGCCCCTCTATATGAGCAACTTCGCAGATATGCTTGCAAGCCAGAGGGGATACGGTGCGGTGGAGACGATTATTCCGCTCGAGAACGGCTCGGGTCATGACCATGGCATTGACCTGGTCAATTCCCCGGTTGACATCTCTGCTCTACCTCCATTCACAAGCGAACTTACTCCAGAGCTTACGCCTCATGATATCGAGGACAAGATCGCCTCAGACGACCGTAATTATATCAATCTCCTTGGAAGTTTTATCGAGTGCATCCACCGGGGCATATTTCTCCTCTCCTTAACCAAAGCAAAACACCCTGCCGCTTCCAAGATTGGGGACGAGCTCGGGGACAAGCTCGATCAGCTCAAAGTGGAGGTAGATGCGATTTTCACAAGACACAGCTTTTTCAAACTTGAGACGAGACTTTCGGCTATCGTCAAGCTTGTATCCACAATATCCAGCGATCTTCGTGTCGTACCCTCCGTGGGTGCCGAATCACTTTCGACGGATGCGGTCGGCTATACGAAACGAGGAAGGAAAAATTTCATAATGGCACTTAGAATCGTGAGACAGGTCTGGGATGTCTGCTTCTTTCCAGATTTGAATGACTTTCGCGGCATCCTTGACGGTCCTTTTGAATCTTTCCTGACCGTCACGGCCTCCTCCCAGGATGCTTTCGCGAATACGGTAGAATGCTATGTCACCTGGCGTTGGGGGAAGCGTGGAATGAATATCCTGAGTTGGCTAGCTAGGCTTCTCTCTGTATCGCCAAATCAACACCCAAGTGAGTCCACTGCATCTTTTAGCGGCAATAGATCCATTTACTAACGGTGAAGGCAGCCCGTACACTGCTCATACGACGGATTGCAGATACGGAGCCGGTCTGCGTCGAACTTCGAGGCTGGATAGCTGAGAAACCTGCTACAAGTTTGTCGAATCGGGGGGATATTACTCTCCGGATTCGATGGATCGAGGGCAGATTGGAGGATTACTATGTTCAAGTTGCGGACATCGCATCACAACTGGCATGGGTTGTAGCAGCTTTGAAGGAACCTCCTAGCACAACCGTTTCATTCACCAGGGCCAGGATTGAGTACTTGCAGGATAAGGAATCCTTTTGTCCATATTTCCAGATTGCACATGAAGACGCCTCCAGCCAGCTCCTAGGCGACGGCGAAGACACATGTTGGCATCAGCTTTTCACCGAATTGAACGTTGCTGTTGGATTCCCTGTCCCCGAACGACCCGAGAAAATGGGCGGTGTGGAATTACCGTTACCCCTGATGACAACCTTTGCCAACATTGGTTACCCAGTCGCATATAGGGACGGTTTTATCCTGAAGGGGTGGCAAAACGCATTGTTCCCTATTCGCACCGACTCTGATTCGTGTCTCTCTAAAGCGGTTTCCAACCTTCAATGGCACCTCTTTAGAAGCGCAAAAGAGCGGCTCTACATGACAGAAGTCAAGGAACTCAAACCGGATCTTCGCCCTGTCAAGGCTCAGTTGTCTCAAGAGGAGTTTATTAATGCGATTAAGCAAACAAAGCGCCACTTCCTCGGGCTGTACGAAAGCGCTACCGTTCGCATTGGTACAGATGACTCGCGTTTGGACAATATCGACCACGTCCATGTTGATGATGGCCTCAAAGAGCGGCGTCTGAAAAGCCTGGTCTGTTGGAATAGAAACATAAACGCTTCGGCAGGTGGCGGATTTGGAGGATCATCTATAGGAGTTTCAACAGGCATCCGTCTACGAACAAAGAAAGAGCGACAGCTGCGTCTTGGAGTAGAGGTTACCATGGACAAGCTTATCAAGATGACGCTTACCAACTCCACCATGCTCTACAATATTCAGACCAAAGTTTCATGGATGTTGCCCCAGATTTGCGTTATACTGTATTTGATCCAGGCATGGGCGAAGCAGTATGCCCCGGCAAATGCACACATCCACTACCCGACGTTTGATACGTATGAAAAGAATCTCCACGACCTGAAGAATGTCCTGGAATCATTCTGGAGAGATGATACCGCGCAGAAAGCTCATCTTGATTTGAAGGAGGCCTTCATCTACTATGCTCAAGCTCTCGACGAATTGCAGGACGACGAAGACCTGAAGCCTGCGAAGGGAATTAATCCAAGTAAGCTGGCCGGTGTGGACTTCACTACACTAGCAAACCAGCCACGCTCCTACTCAATCGTCACAGTCAATCTTAACAACCAAACTTGCGGCGACTGGCTACAGATGTTAAAGAGCGATTGGAAGGACACTACGTTGCGAGGCGCACCGTATCGCGTGGTCACTCTATTCTGCGCTAATCTCCCCCGACCGCCAGTCCAGCCACTTCCACCACCTATGGTGTGCAATAGCTGGCTGCGACCCCCTCAAGGCTGTGACTACCTGGTAGTGCATCAGCATTGCCTTCAAAATTTGACCCAGATATACGGATCGGATCCTGTCCGGCTTTCAAGTGAACATTGGTGCGTGCAGGGGTCACAACCCCCCTTCCAGCCCTGTCACGGGGAGCAGATTTGCAACCCGCTGCAGAAAATCGTCAGAAATAACCAACAACCATACCCAAAGATGACTGAATGGATAGGGAAAGCTCCCCCTTATGGGGTCTTCATTTTTGGGCAGGCCCTTGGTCCTAATTTCCAGAGACATTGCAGTCGTTAAACCCATAAGCAGGGACTGATAAGGTCTGGTGTACCGTAGCCCCCCAAAAGACACTCCCAGTTGACCACTCACAGTACGGTCACTCAAGGAAACCAAAAGTTCGAAATGGGCAACTCACCTAGGCCACGAGCAACCTACGATATATACACACCCATTATTGCACATTAGATAGACATGTCGCTTCTCAGTTATCAATACTATACTGAAGCTACGCATACAACGACCTCCCTCTTGTGCACTATTATACCAGCTATCGTGGCGCCTCTTACCATCCACAAAATAATATGATCTGATACTCTATGCATACATTCATCTCTGCAGTGCGCCTCGAGAGCTTTCTTTACTAAAATATATACTATCACTCTCACATACTGCACAATGTCTAACCAATTGGAAAATTCAAGAATTAAAAGCACTTTTTTACGACAGAATGCCTTAGTAGATGCTCCCTCAGAGGAATCGCGCATATGTCAAAAGTTGCTTGCTGGTGTGCCCCCAATCATGTCAACCTCCATATTGCGTTAGCAGCAGTAGCCGCTACGCAATACCGACAGGTCTGGTGTTGACTCCATTGGCCGGACAAAGGAATCACTAGTAAAATGATCGCTCCAATCAAGGGATTCCATCAGGTATAAGAGACCCTCAGAGACCTCTGTATTCGCTAGATTTGATAGACAATAAATAACACCCTTTTACCTGTGGGACGGGACTGTTGGAATACCGGCACGCTTAGAGGCAATGGGCTTACCATGTGACTGCTTATTGAACTGATCCTACATCTTCGCGAGATGGAAGTTATTAGGAACTTGCAGTCTTCCAAGGCTGGTTCAGCAGTAGTTAATTCGTGATTATTAGTATAGGGAGTAAAGCATGCCGAAACTATTCATGAAACTAAAGTTCCTTCAGTCCTAGTAGGCGATCGAGAACAGTCTTGCATCACATGTGTGGTGATAATATTATACATAAGCTATCGCATAAAGTCTCGATATATTGTGACTGCGGCTAGCCTAAAATGAGCGCCCCACGCAGCCTGCGCCTGTTAAAAAATTGGGCGACATCCATTTCGCCTTTCATTGTAGCATTATCACGAATCTAGAGAGCAGTGGATGTGCGGGATGGCCTACTGCTAGGATTTGATGAGAGTGGTTTTTAGCTCCTTTTCGTCAGTGCAAATTTACATTTCAAAAGGTATAATCAGAAATGGGCTCGCCAGCCCCACTAAGCTGAAAGCTGCCCCTTCTAAGTTTACGGAAAGCCGCGACACTTACTTCGCCTTTCACTGTATAAAAAAAAAGTGAGAAAATACACTTAGATGTCTCCTACTCTCTGTTGCAGAATCTGCAATCTGTAATGATGTTAGGACCCTTATATGTATGTTTAGGGGGTAGAGCATAGCCGTAGTGTAGTGGAGCCCAACGACAAAGATACTTTATAAAAGGCACTGTGTCAGATTTCTTTACGCACTATGACCAGCCACACTTTGTCCAAAAATGGCCGTCTTTAAATTCAATATAGAAGAAAAAGCGGACACTCCTTTCGGCCAACCCTGTACTATAACTTATTACCCTAATAAGTATAATAAAGGCTAAAATAGGCTCCTAATAGAAGTATCCTACTATCCCTATACCTTTCTCTTTCTATTCTTTACTATTCTGCTCTCCTTATTTTCTTCTATCTATAAATACAGGCTAGTTTCTACTAAAATTATAATTATAGTACTATAACTAGATCTTATATAGTATAATTTAATTAAAGTTATATTATAGAAAATTTTTAATATAAAGCTAATAGCTTTAAATACTTTCTATAATATATAGACTATTTAAAAAGAATATCTAAAAGATATCTATTAGAATACTAACCTTAGATACTATAGCTGCTTTATATAGCCTATATAAAAAGCCCTGCTTAATAAACTAATAGAATATCTATATTTATATTATTTTAAAATATTAGATTATCTTTATAAGAAATTTAGTAAAAGAGCTTTAAAGAGATTAATTATATATATACTATAAATCTAAGAATATATTAGAATTATAATTTATTATATTATATAGTAATTGTTAATTTTATGAGACTATAGCCACTATAAGTTAGTGGGGTCATGAGCGCTGATAGCGGTCATGACCACTAACCGCTAGCGATCGTAGCCACTGGCTATTAGCGATCAAACTGGCTGTTAGAGATCGCTGCTAGCGATCCCAGCCACTAGCCGTTAGCGATCGCAGCCACTAGCTGTTAGTGATCGTAACCACTAGCTTTTAGCGATTGCGGCCACTGGCCACAACCGCTAATAACCCTCTGCTAACGCTAGCCAATAGCGGTTGAGATCGCTATCTCTTAGCGATAACAATCACTAGCCAATAGCGGCTGCAGCCACTGTGGGTCAGTAGCTACAGGCCGCTACGACCGCTAGGGCTTAGCGGGCCCTAGGAATCCTCAGGGGTCCGGGCCACCAGCAGAGCTATTATTAGGTTATCAAGGCTTATCAAGCCTAGATAAGGGTCTAGAAAATCCGGGAAAAATCCTAGGATATTCTTAGACGACCTAACCTATACCCAGGCTACCCTATAGCCAACCTACCCTAGACTAGGTCTTAGATCTTAGATAATTCCTTTAGCTTTAAAGATAAGGTATCTAATATCTATACTCAACTAATCAGCTTAAGAGCCTCTTTCAGATAAAAGTAGGTCTTATAAAAGTTATATATATCGGTCGAAGGTTTTAATAGTTATAAGTTGATTTTTTAGATTTCCTATAGTAATAAATTTTACGGAAAATCAAAAGTAGCCCGGGAAGCTGCTGTAGCGGGTTTTAGAGTAGTTTTTAGTCGGTAGACCTATAAGAGAAATTAGTAGAATTTTCTGATCTCTTTTATAAAAATAAGATTCTTTTATACTATATTTTATACTATATTTAGTTCCTCTAGTACTAAAACTTATTAAGTTATAGCAGAGTTAGTAGTAGAGAACTATAAGTTATAGCGAACTTCCCTGCTGTATTATAGAGGCTTATAAGGGCAAATGCCCTGTAAACCTACTGTAATTTCAATAGTAATAGAATACTAACTTTTAAAATTACTATCTATATAGAATTTTAAAATATAAATCTTATTAATTTATATTTATTAATAAGTCTAGATATAATAGATAAGTAGGATATTAATATTAGAGTTAGTTCTTAATAGGAATTTTACTAGTTAAAATAATAAAGTTTAATTATAGAAGGAGATAGTATATTCTTTCTATATATACTTAAAATAGAATTATATTAATATAAGTATACTAAAGCTCTACTAATAATAAATTATATAAAAACTTTATTATATAGTTATTATACTATTATAGTAGATATCTAAAGTTAAAATCTATATTTATTATAGAAATACTTCTTAGTACTATATAGAGAAACTCTAATAAATATATTAATAAGTAGAAGTATATTTAAAATATCTATTATTCTACTTATTAGATTTTAATCTAATTAAAAAATACTTTAGAAATATAAAAAGATTTATTAAAAAGATAATATATAAAAATAAAGTATTTATTAATAGAATATTTAATTAGTATTTAGAATAGTATATAGATATAGTAGGGTATAATAAATAGATTATAGAGAATTACTTTTACTCTATAGAGATATCTATTATATATTCTTTAAGCTTATTCTTTTTATTCCCTAGTATATCTTCCTTAGAGCTATATCTATAGCTAGATTTAGAGATATAATAGTTAATAGATCTATCTGCTTTTTACTTATAATTATTATTTATAATATCTTAAAGAATTTTAAAAAGGATCTTAATATTAATATTAATATTATTCTCCTTCTCTTCTTTCTTTATATTAGCTTTAATAAAGTTATAAATATCTTCTAGATATATTATTAATATTTTATAGTAGTTTTCTTAGTTATTTATTAAATAATAGAGCTTTTATTTATAATATTTAGCTCTATACTAATAGAACTTATAGACTTAAGTCTATAGATTAATATCTATAGCTTACTAAGTTTTTTAGAAATCTATAGTGCTTTTTTTAATCTTCTTCTATTTATTTATACCTATAGTTTCTATAATAGCTTCCTTATAAATAAATTCTATAGAGAAGATTATCTTTCTTTCTTTACTAACTAGATTACTAAGCCTCTCTGAATACTTATTAACTATATTCTAATTAAGATAACTACTAGAATCTAGACCTTTTATCCCTATTTTATTAATAATTATATTTAATAGATTTAATAATATTTATTTTATTATAAAGTATAGTTACTGCCTGGGAATTTTATTTTATTGTTTGATCTTTAAGGTATACCTTGAGATTATCTTACCAAAAGACACTTGGGGCCAAGACCGTATTTAGCTATATCTAAGTTATTAACTCTATGTTACAAACAAAGGCCTCTGTCAGGCTATATAAAGTCATGTGTAAGGTGGACAGAGTAACCTACTTTGAAGGACCAATCAGAGTGACTTTACTTTGATAAGGTAAAGACTAAGTAAAGCCCTAATAAAGACGAAGTTAATATACTGCTAAATAACTATATTTATTTCTACAGTAAACGGCGAAATGGGTGTCCGCAAATAATTTAGATAACTATTATAACAAGGGCCATTTCTGGCTGTTTGACAACCTACCCTTGTACCTCAAGGTACCAGTACTACGTGATCTAATAAAGCCCAATTCTTTGTCCCTCCCATGGCTTCTAGTCCCCAGAATATTTAAATATCTCTTCTCTCGCTAGGTACATCCTATCTATATTGGCAATTCGTGCAGTTAATACAGGGGCATAGGCGTACACTTAGTGTACATAGGTAACACCATAGAAAGTTGTAGAATCTCGTAGAATCCCATAAGTGGGTCTTGTCTTTGTTCCAGAAGATTATTGCTTGAGCGTCCTACAAACGACGAATGGACCGATCCGTCTGGTGACGAATATGCCTTCCACTTCTTCGACTCTGTAGCTTGGAAAGAGATACATATGTACTGTATGCGAAACGAAAAAACCAATCCTGAGTACATCAACTATGATATGGGATTTTAAATCATATTGGGTGGCAAAACCACCACTGACTCGTTGTTAGGGAAAGGCAGGCTACCAATAGAGATGGGTCCTCATTCTACAGACACTCTACGAGAAAAACTAAGTCTTTAACTACTTGTAAGCCTATGTGACCTACGGCAGAACGTTACCTCTATCAATGAGCAGGTCGCTCACCGTCATGTACAAGCTGGCGTCACTCGCTAAGTACACGTACAACCCCTTGATCATCTTGACGTGGCTCTGCCATCCCAGGGCCGACATGCCCTGGAAGCAGTCAGGCCTGGCGCCCATGCGCATGTCGAAAAATCCCACCGAGATCACGTTAACGCGCGCAAAGTCGCATCACTCGCGGGCGAGCGACTTGTCAGCTATAACCATGGGTTTGCCAGCAACGGCACTTTTTTGCTCAAGGTAGATGTTAATTCTGCCGCTTTCTCCTAGGAACTTTACTGATCTGACCACTTGTTACTGTACCTCAGGCCTAGATTACGATGTGTTGTGTTTGATGTATGTACAGTATTACAAACTTTCTTAGTCTAGAGTTTTAGACATTCTACATATAAGTATCAGTTATATCGTCATAACACACAGTCAAACGCCGCCTCTTATACATTCATTTCTAAACTCAATAATCAGTTCTTTCAGTCTAGATCTCTCTACATTACAATTAGAAGGATATTATAACGCCTCTCCTATCTTGCCACGACTTTTTTCCGATTAGTCAAACGCCACCTCTTATTAAGTCATTAACAAACTCAATAATTAACTTTTTCAGTCTAGACCTCTCTACATTCCAGTTGGAATAATATTTATTACGCCTCTCCTATCTACTTATGAAATTTTCCTAGTTAGCCCTCTCGCTGACCCCACTCAGTCGTGGCTGAACTAAATACAAACGGCCGTGTGGATAATTCGCTATGATTAGTAGTCTGATACACCACCTCCTTTAGCTGGTTATTGTCAGTCCCCTCTATCACTCTCTATCAAAAGTCAAAATATAAAGCCCCCTCCAGCCTCTTCTAAACTACTTTGCCCTAGTTATTAACTCTGATGATCTAGACCCTTTTTTACTCCCACTAGAGTCGTATTACTTCAATTAATATCATATTCAGTAATCAATTGTACATATATCTATTTAACAGCCGCCCCCTGCCCCCGCCTCTTACAAAGTATCTTGCCTCTATTTCCAGCTCTCCCAGTCTGGACCCTTTCTATTCCAACTGAAAGAATAGACTTTCAACATAATTTTGAATATTCGGTATTTATTACGTATACAGCTTATAAATCATATGATTTTCATACTCTATATAATGCAATTATCTGGTAACTCCAAAGAGATAATAAGGCTTCATAGTTAAGTTCTATAACCCATAATTACATTGATAATTTCATTCGATAATATACTCAAAATGAGTACCTATGAAGCCAATTTGAACCAGGGCCATGAGGAGGTCAACCTGAGATCTGACCCTTCTGAGGCCAGCTCGAAACCTGACTCTTCTGGGGCCAGCTCGAAACCTGACCCCAACCCTGACCCTTCTGAGGCCAGCTCGAAACCTGACTCTTCTGGGGCCAGCTCGAAACCTGACCCCAACCCTGACTCTTCCGGGGCCAGCTCGAAACCTGACCCTTCTGAGGCCAGCTCGAAACCTGACCCCAACCCTGACTCTTCCGGGGCCAACTCGAACCCTGACTCTTCTGGGGCCAGCTCGAAACCTGACTCTTCTGGGGCCAACTCGAACCCTGACCCTTCTTTTATAGCCATCGCCGGCCACATCTGTAACGAGTGGACAACGTGGCCAATAACCTCACACCGAATAAGTCAATATGGAGGGAGAATCCAAGAAAGATCCTTAAAGTGTACTCATGAGTTAAGAGGAGCGCCGCTGTTAAATAAACTTCTATCTGAGGCAAGGGGCTACCACGAACACAAAGTGATTGCAACAAATCAACAAGGTCGTCAGGAGAGCAACAACAAGTTGCTAATTGACTTAATACCAAAGAAATCCGATCCTACTAAATACCAATTGGAAAAGTACCGACACTTTCCCGAGTCATGCACTCTATACTTTCCTCAGTATGACCCTAATTTCCGTACGCGGATTCTGGTAATTGAGGAGCCCCCAGCACCGAGCTATTATGGGAAAGGCTCAGAAGAATCTTACAAGAAATTTGTTCGAGGAGCCAATCCTCAACTTATAATATACAAAATGACCCGTCCCCTTGCAGATGGGGAGCTGTGGAGAACCATCCGGTCGGGCACGAAAAACAAACCCGACGAAGAGGCCACCAAGAATCTGATTGTCATAGTCGATGCCGACGACCTCCGGGCCGAAGGAGTAGAGCTGAGTCGCCATCTATCATGGGAAAGAACTGCAGATGATTTTGTTCGGAATATTGCATCCAACGGAGAGCATGGGACAGTTGTTTCTTGCGCACACCTCATTGTACGATTTGGATGCGAAGGGGCTATATACTACCAGGGCCAGAAAAAAAGCTTAGCAACGCTACTTTGTAGCTCGGAGAAGGCTGAAGGTAACTTCATTCAGTCTCAATCGGAGCCGATGGTAGGGTTATCAACAGCTTTCACAGCCGGCCTAGTCTCTTCGCTCGCCAAAGATAAGTCTCTGGCAACTTCTGATACGCAAAGTCAAGGCAGAGACTGCATTCACACTCTCATAAAGAGAGGAATTGTGCTAGGCCTATGGAACGCCGACCGCCTAGCTTCGCAAGGGTTCTGGAGAACCAATATAGAGACAGACCGGGAGGCCCCACTCTACCCGTCTCTCGAAATCACGGATCATATTACAATGTCACCAGAAAGCCTAATGAAAAGTGAAAGGATAGTTTATACTGAGATTCCGACCGCCCGCAGTCTTAGAGGCGAGCGCTGGTCAATTCTCGATGAAACGATTGGTGATATTACGGAAGCGGCGTATCGTATTATTAAGACCGGACCTCAGAAGGTGCTGAGCCATGTGCCTACCGCCTCCTTTGGCAAGCTCATAACAGCCGACAAAAATGAGATTGAGAGCTTCCATTCTATCACCAATCTTGTACGAGAGTATTTGAGAGCATCTCGTATGAGCCTAGCAGAGCCCCTTTCCATTGGTGTTTTTGGGCCACCAGGGTCAGGGAAATCATTTGGAGTGATGCAAGTAATCGAGACTGCAGCAAAAGGACGACGAGATGTGGAGAAGCTGAGCTTCAACCTGTCTCAATTTGCTAATTATTCCGAGTTGGTAGCAGCATTTCAGTTGATTCGAGACAGAACGTTGTCGGGAGTACTTCCTCTGGTCTTATTCGATGAATTCGATGCTGGTCTTCCTGGTTCAAGTTGGGGATGGTTGAAATATTTTCTATCTCCAATGCAAGACGGGGAGTTTCTAGATCATGGCACAATGCACCCCCTTGGGGCTGCAATTTTCGTTTTCATTGGAGGCACTTCCCCGACATTTTCAGCTTTCAAAAAGATGAATGATGATTCCGAGTCCACAAAGTTTGCAGCTGCTAAAGGACCAGACTTCATCAGCCGGCTACGAGGATACGTCAATGTCGTCGGTACAGATCCGTCGGACGATGATGACAAGTACCCTATTCGTCGTGCTATTCTACTCCGCGCCCTGCTTGAGAAGAGGTTTAATATTGAACAAGGACAGGAAATCAAAGTCGATCCCACTGTTGCCAATGCACTATTGAATGTTCCAAAGTTCCACCATGGCGCTCGATCGTTGGAAGCAATATTAAGTATGAGCAGGTTACAAGCGCAGAGAGAGTTCCAAAGAGCGGCATTACCTTCAGAGACTCAACTTACCCTACATGTGAATTCCCAGGAATTCATGGAACGTGTTAGGAGACGGAAGAATCTGCAACCTAGACTACGTGAACAGATCGCGGAAAAGCTGCATCGAGAGTTTAGAGACTTTAGGAGGAAAGAGATGGAAAAGATGCGGAGGCGCCAAGGGAACGCTGGCTCGCTGAACGCAGACGAGGAAAGAAATGCGGATTCAACTACGGTGCCGTGGGATAGACTTCCCGAGAACTTGAGGGAATCAAACCGTCTAGCAGCTGACGACATCGTGATCAAGCTGCGTATGATTCAGTGCTACATGACCAAAAAAACCCTGGATGGAAGAAATGCGGTTGGTAAATTTACAGATAATCGCCAACTATTGAGACTAGCAAAGCGAGAGCATACACGCTATTATGCCGAACGTTTGAAAGAGGGTTGGGGATGTGGCCCTTCAAGTATACACAACCAAACCAGCCCTGATCTGAAACCTTGGGAGTGCCTGGAAGATGATATGAGAAAGCTTGAGATTACGTTGGTTAGGTGTATACCTCGTATTTTGTCTGAGTGCGGTTACCAAATTTATGAGCAGCAAGATGGTGCTGCACAACTGCAATCCTGTTGTTGGAACTCTATCAAGAGCTGATAATTAGGAATATATTTCATAGTAATAAGAGGTATAATATTAATATTTAAATAATGTCAAGGGCCAAATGGGCAGCAGACTTCTTAGGTGGCTTGAGCGTTAGGACAATGAGTCAGCCCTTTACAAGCTCTGTAGACCCTTGATATATATACTCGCCTTAGTATAATTCTATCTTAGGTGTATGCGGGAAGGATGTGCCATCTCCTTCTATAATTAAACTTTATTACCTTAACTAGTGAACCCCCCCTTAGGGACTAACCCTAATGCTAATACCCTGCTCTCCTATCGCATCCAGACTTATTAATAAAGACAAGCTAATAAGATTTATATTTTGAAATTCTATGTAGATAGTGATCTCAAAGGTTAGTATCCTGTTGTTGTGCGACTTGATAAATAACTATTCTGGTCGAACCTTGGGCTCATAGAGCCCGGGCGATTAACCTTTCTTATACTCTCCTGCCGAATTTCTTATAAAGATAATCTAATATCTCAGACTGATATAAATATGGATGTTCTATCAGTATATCAAGAAGGGCTTATTATATAGGACGTGTAATACAGCTACGGCGTCTAAGGTTAGTGTTCTGGCGGGCAGCCTTCAGAGGTTGTCTTCTTCCTGTCGGAATCTTTGAATAGCTCGCGTGCTGCAGGAGACTTTTGAGGCTATTAGCTTTATATTAAACTCTTGCTTTAGCATAACTTTAATTAATTCACGCCGGGCAAGATCTAGCTGTGGTGCCATGATTACAAGTTTGGAAGGAACTGGCCTGTATTTGTAGAGGGAAGAAATGATCAGAAAGGCAGAAGAGCAGGAGAACAGAACAGCAAAAGGGCAGAATGGGCGCAAGGGATAGTGGGGCGCTACTCCAATACTGAGGAGCCACTTTCGGCCTTGTTACCTGTTAGAGAAACTTGTTACGGTACATTTTGTCTACTACCACTACAGACAAAGCTAAGGGCCCATAGTATTACACTAAAAGAGTTATCTAAAAGTTTAGCGACACCCATTTCGCCGTTTACTGTACCTATTTCGCCTTTTACTATACCTAGTAAAGCTATTTCTAGACTAGCTGATAAATATATAAAAGACTATAGGAACATTCTTTCAGCTATTTATAGCTGAAGTAAAGTTCTCAACATCAAATCATTAAATAGAAAGAGAAAGCTAACACTTCTTTCGGTTGACTATACAGTTTGGAGCATAACCAGCTTCCTCTTCTTAAACATACTCTGAATATCAACTGATGCTCCACACAGTGCTATTTGCCACAAAATGCACTTTATACAAAATCTACATAAGTAGAGACTTAGAGCTAAAGCAGTTTTTGTTCCCATTCTTGGACTTGGCCTAGAAATGGGCACCCCACCTGTCATGGCCCACTCCAGAACCGCAGCAAAGGCCACCCAAGGTTCAGGTAAGACCCTTCAGGATACTATTTTATACATACGATCTTAAGAATCGGACTGTTGATTTAGTCTAGAGCTGTGCATTTCAATCTATATGGTTATAATGCTTCACTAAGATGAATGCATCTTTAAGCAAATGCTAATGACTGCTAAGCTAGAATGAATATGCCTCGTGTACAGTATAATATTCACTTCTGTCAACTATCTAGAGCTAAAACTGATGATCGCGTATGTGGATGATCCACTCCTAATTTCATCTTCCTGAGGCGAACGCACGTTTGCATTAAGTCCATAGCTTCAGTTTTCTTATCCATAGAGTTCCAAGTATGAGCCAAGTTATTTATGCTCGTCAGTGTATCGGGATGGTCTGCTCCAAGCTTTATCTTACGAGTCTCCATCACCTGCACCTCAAGCTTCTCTGCCTCTTCCCACCGGCCTTGACTCCAATATGTTGATGCTAGATTGCCCATACTCATCAGTGTATCGGGATGGTCTGCTCCAAGCTTCGTCTGAAGAGTCTCCACCACCTGCACCTCAAGCTTCTCTGCCTCCTCCCACCGGCCTTGATTCCATGACGTTGATGCAAGATTGGCCAGACTCGTCAGTGTAGAGGGATGGTCTGCTCCAAGCTTGGTCTTTCGAGTCTTTATCACCTGTATCTCGAGCTTCTCGGCCTCCTCCCACCGGCCTTGATTCCTATATATGAATGCAAGATTCCCTATACTAGCATGCCCTTCACCTTCCTCTTCCTCAAATATCTTAGCAGCCTCAATTTGATGCTGCTCTGCTGTAGCCCATTGCCCTCGATGCATAAAATACCCTCCCATACAATGCAACAGTTTGGCCCTTGCGATCTTTTCATCCTTCTTACTTTCTGTATTGTGTTCTAGTACGGCATGCGCATGAGGTAGCAATCTCAGGCATTTGTCGCGGGTCTCAAACTTGCCAAATGGGTAAGTATCCGATACTGTTTTCAGGGCTAGTTGAGCGAAATCCTTCCTTTTGATGTTAAGCCACTTTCGCGTCACCAGTTATACCAGCCGGTGCATGTTCAAGTTCCGACCTTTATCCTCCGAGATGAAGCAAAAAGCCTTCAGAGTGCCAAGGGCCTTCGTAAGTGCTGCTGATGCGGTGGGATCTCCATCTTTGGGCTGCCTGCGGCTACAGTAGTCCTCGACAAATTCCCTTGGAATCGCTTGCCAGTGAAAGAAGCTTATAAAAGAAAGAATATCACTCTCGAGCGGATTTCTTCGCTGGATCTGATTAAACGATATGATCCACGTTGCCGTGACCGCATGTGGTGTCTTTGAATCTCTCCCGACTGTTTCGAATGGTTCACTTAGACGGTTAACAAAGGCTGAGTCGCTCTCGTCTAAGAGCTGGATATATTCACTCAAAGGAATTCCGTTCTCTTGGATGAATGCTGCCGCCTGCACAAGAGCGAGTGGCAAATGTTCAAGCCTGGAGGAGAGTAGAGATGTCTCATCTGCCGAAATCTCCTCGTCCTCTAGGATTGCATATAGTAGCGAGTGTGCTTTATCGTCGTTTATGTTGCCGACCTCAATTGGAAGCTTTCCTCGGGCTAGCCGTGACCCCGTCTTCTTATTCCTAGTTGTAACGATGACTGATCCGTGCTTGCACTCTGGGATATAGCGAGCAAGACCATAATCTGTGTGCGTTTCTGCCGTGTTTGTTTTTAATGACCCTTCCTCCAGTTGATCCTGGAAGAATAACTCCATCTCATCAGCGTTGTCGATTACCATCAGCCACTAAGTTTTGTATTTTTTCTCTAACCATCCTTAAACAAGTGATAGTAAATCGGTTTTTAGATTATTATGTCCAGGTATATTGCATTCTTTCGCAATAGAAGCGTATGCCTGATGAAAACGTTCCGCGTTGCTGGCATAAACCCAAAATATTGCTATATCTGGATGTTGTTTTCGGAGCCAGTAAATATAGGCTAATGCAATCTGAGTTTTACTATATTTATATTAGTTGGCATTCTCGAAAGATGAAAGAAAGCTTACCCAATACCACCAAGACCATAGAGTGCTACCCTTGTATGCGGTTCTACTGATCCTCGCGGCTGACCTAAGCCGAGTTGTTGCTTAAGTGTCTGCAGGATACTGGATCTCCCGACAAAATCAGGATTTTGATTGTACGGGACTAAGACTAGACTTTCTTAGTAAGAGCTATAATTATATCTTGTGTCATATATATTTACTTCTCGCCTGAATGCGATCGCGCACTGTCAAAGCTTATCGAGCAAGACCCCTAAGCCTCTCACGAACGTTGACATATTCATGATCTTAAGGCCCAAATTTAACCAAGTTAGAATGCGTGCGAGCGATCGTGCAGATATGCTCTGCACCGTTTTCCCAAGGGCGGCAATGTGTAGCTGAAGATTTAGTAACCAATAATGCAGGGGGTCCTGTCATCTCCCAGCGACTATTCTTTGCCTATCCTAGTTAGCAAACGCTTTTTCTTAGATAGTATATTGTATACCTTTTGTGCCGTTGGCGACTTGAGCGTTTTATAGAAACTAAAAACCTCTGAATAATCCTTATTACCTAATGCAGTAGGAAACTCTCTTTGTTGAATCGTGAGTATCTGAGAGTTAATATGGCTAAGAGACTCGACCAGGAACTGATTTGGCCTATCCCTAACTATTGGGATGAGTGAGCTGATGTCTATGCTATCGTGTGGGACCCCGAAGAAGATAATCCCATAAACAGCCTTAATAAGGTTTTGATCGCCCTTATTCTTTGACTTCGATAGGGCTACCAAGGTCTGTAGTATATATTATTAGTATGTATAAAAGACCTACGCATGCGGATTACTTTACCTGTTTTACGATTAGACCGCCCAGGCTATGGGTGATGAGGATAATGGGTCTTATCAATGGAGCAGTTGCTAGCGTATGGAGACTGCTGTGAAACGTGGTGGCGAGATCCTCTATGTTTTGTATGTTCTCGCTCTCCGCGATACCTGATTTATATCTATAGATCATGACCCGCGCCATGGGCTGACCAGTCTCCTCACAGGTGATATTATGGGGGAGAGAATCGCGCAACCATATATAATCCCCGCCTCTCTCTTTGAACGACCCGAAAGCATGGCCGCCAAGACCTGATAATGCAATAACACTGACAGAATTAGTAGGGAAACTTCCAATTTTCTGGCGACCAGTCTACTCACTCGATTTTGTGGGCATCAGTTGGCGGCGTATAGAGCGTAGTGATACCAAGAAAGGCCTTGTCAAGTATTAAGTATTGGTCGCCGGTGATTTGGTCATCTGTAGGCTTGGGCAATAATATCCGCTCCCTCCGGCGACTTTTCGGGGAAAGCAGGATGTCCTGGAAGATCACTGTAGCCGTCCGGGAGCGGTTGTCGATTTCTTGAGCGAGGGACTTGATAGTCGGGATGGAGCTCTTCCTCTCTACGAGGAAGGACCCTAGTTGCTCTAGATCCCAGTCAACGGGCACACCAACAACCCGGAATGTGTCGCAATCTTTCGGTGATTTTTTGCTCATAGGTATCTCCTTATTCACATGCGCGTCCTCTGGTATCAATCGTGCGCAACCTCCAAGGACCCAGCGCCATATGAATGCCGTGAGGATCGCGATGACAGCCAGAAGGCTAATTTGACCAGGCGAATCCATCATTTTTAATAACATTGAGCGCGCTCTGGGCTCACACGAGCGACTGGGGTTCGTTTAGAGGCAGATGCTGGTATAACGTCCTGCTGCTGTTGGATATGGGGCAAGTTTGGCAGATGTTGTACTTATGCGTATAGGGCGAATACTGTATAGTGACGAGAGTTGATGGAAGCAGAGTTGAAATGGCAGAGGAGAGGGGAAGGGGTGAGGCTGCCCCTTGGATTGCAAGAATTGATCAGGTATTTAGGCAGAGATTGGTTCGCGAACCTTATGGATGACTAAGACATAATAGACTGACGGCCTATTGAATTCGGGTTATCTATAATCCGGCCCTCAATCGCTGTAATTATTTAGCTAGCCTGTCAACCTGAGGTTGGAAGTACCTAATCACTCGCCAAAGGTATCGAAATTTCACGCTAACACTGTAGGCATGATTGATCCCACCTCAGTACTTTGTCTACTTTAGGGAACTTGTTTGCTGGCTATTAACGGATATTTCCCATACTATAAAATAGCGGGACATGTACACTAAGATATTTTCAGGTTCTCCGTCTTTTAAAAATTAAATATAAAGACAACAGAGCGGAAGCTGGTTATGCTCCACACTGTATTTCTTTTAATATAAGTATTCTTTCTTTTAAAAGCTATTTCTATTTAAAGACTTACTAGAGTATAAGACAGAGGGTTATATATATAATATAATTACCAGTTATATCTAGTAATATTATATAAGTAATCTTTCTATCCTTCTTAGCTAATAAAATAAGATATCTGACTTATACAGGTATTAATTTAGATAGTCTCCCAGATCTAGGAGCTATATTAAAAGAGTAGATATTTTATCAGTATTTAAAGATACTATATACAGTTAAGGCTATTATATTATATTCTTCTGTAATAGCATAATAGGTTTTACTATATTATACCTTCTTACTCAGGAGAAAATTAATAGCCTCTTTAATAATTTATACTTATTTTAGTACTAAAGGTATACTTTAGAGTTTTTATATTCTGAAGTTATTATGAAGATGCGAAAACGGGGTATAGGTCACGGTATTCGCAAACTTACTGCCCATAATAGTACATCCCACCCACCTATTGTCTACAAGGGGGGGCCCTGGTTTGCGTCCTATTGTGGAATGTTATCCCCCAAATAACTTGATACATACTGCGTATTTTGCTTGAGTACTCTCTACAAGCCCCCCTATCTGTTATCGGAAAAAATATGTATGTCTCCCTCTTATCCGGTGTGGTTTTGGGTCGGAGCAGCAGCAGCGGAGTGAAGCCGAAACAAACTTGATCGTAGGGTGTTTAAATGAGCCCCTACAGAAGATGGAATCTAGTTTATCTTCCCATATCCTTTTCTCTTCCGGATCATGTTTATTGTCAAGGTCAACTACCTCGACTTGAGGTACGCATCGCCTCGGACGAACAAAGCGTTCTTGTGAGCTCATCGTACAAGTGCTATGCTCGAAACAATTCAGAATAAGATAGATCAGGTCGGGCGCTGGCTTGTTCTGTAGCAGCTGCTTAAGTCGAGACTTCTCGTTATTATAGTAGTGATGGCCAAGATTCATGGCGAGTCGGGAGAAAGGGAACCAAGGAGTAGAGATTGTGTTTCCACCCATGATGTTAACGTGTAGAATATCGCGATGTGGATGGTAATAGCCTTTAGCTATACATTGGCTATTACCACAACTTGGGAAGGGCTCAAATATTTTGAGGGCTAGATCGCGACTCTCTTTGCAAACATGAAGCATAGCCGGAGGCTTTTGTATACTGATTCGTACTTCAGGGCTGGTGGAGTCTGTTTATCGGAGGCTTTTGTGTACTGATTCGTACTTTAGGGCTGGTGGAGTCGTTTATCTTATGGCCATATGACTTCTCGACTACGCAATGCACTCGACGGCCTGGCAATGTATGTTCCCAAACCATCCTTCGCAGCTCGGCGGGAAGCTTCATAAATTCGAAGCGTGGCTGATCGGCTGCTTTTAGTCGTTGTTCCTGGCCACGAGTCCATACACCCATCGTTGCTGGGGAAAATTTGCACCTGGGGCTCAAAGAGCAGTATAAATTGCGGAAGAGGGAATCCTCGACATTTGGGCGGAGAGCCTTTTTATGGTGGAAAATCACAAAAGAAAACATTACTAATGAATAATTGGTCTGGTCCCTTACAAAGTGCATATCTTTCTATATGGGTATGAAATTAAGGGGTAGCGCGGCCAAGCGTGTGAGAAATTACGTAGTTGGTGTTAACTAGTCCCCTTTTAAGCCCCTTTCAGACCCGCTCTTATGGACTGTGTGAGAGCATATCCAAAGGTATCCATTCCATTTGTATTGGCACAGCTCGCTAATAGCTTGGCCGCAAGAATCTCATTTCTGCTGCGTATGGCCTGTAGAGTTGAAGATTCGCTATACAGAGAGCAGCTCTCGTGAACTGTGGTGAATATGGTCACATTCTTGAACCGAACCCTACAGTTCTGGGCCGTGTGATTCCTGGTCCTTCGATTGTAGTCGATTCAAAATAGTATCCTTGCGCGACCGATCTAGTCTTGTCCGTTATTATTCGTACACGCTCGGATGCGATGCTTGTCGGTGATGTGGCCGAGTTATTGTGATCGCAGGAGGATGAAGTAGGTGTAAGTAATGGGGTACCGCCGCTGGAGCTGAAGAGATCGGTGCTTTTGTGAAATAAGGGTTCGGAGCCTCCTGTCGGTATAACCTCAGGATCTCAATTTGTAACATATCAGCTAAAAGTGAACATAATATACACTTGATACTGTACAACGGCGTCATCGCTTATATATCTCTCATCACTCTTTAACTCTACCCTTGATTACCTAGTGAGTGTTGCTACCTGCCTTTGCAACCTGGAGCCATACAGCGGGAAATTTATTACCTAATGCGCGCTGTAAATCGAAGAGATAGAAACTATTTTACGAGAAATCCGAAACCGAACGCGGCTAGATAGCCGCGAGAACGAGTTTAATAGTACATATTGTATTGTCTTATATCCATACTGTATCTAGCCACATCGCCTGAAATAGCTTCTTTTTAGCAACGTGTTAAAAAAAAGAATAAGACACTGTATACAGGGCCAACCGAAAACAGTGTCCGCTTATTCGATAGACGACCAAGTTACTGATGGCCATTTTAGGTTTAATGTGTTGTAGCTATAGTACGCGAAAAGAATAGAACTACCGCAACAAAAGTATACAATCAACGTGGGGTCATGGGTAAGCTCGGACCGAAACGGTTGTCTAGCAGCGGAGCGCTCACGAGCTCCTCCTGGCCAACGTTCGCCATAAGAAGAAAGACGCCGTCCCCCCCTGGGGTTTATTGATTTCGGGCCACACAGCATTTGATCCTCGCATCGACAGATACTCAACCTTGCTTCCTTTCATCATTTTAATACGTTATTGGGCACGACGTGAGCATTATTTATACAATGTATATAACACCATGCTAATTGTTTTTAATTATACTAAAATAGGTCGGCGATGAGCATGAAAGATGTTTTGTTATCCGTTGAGTCAGGAAATGACTATATCTACTATAGAATACAGCGACGTGATAGGAGAGTCGTCTATATTACAGTAAAAAATGTGGAAATTATCCCAGAACACGATCGTACTTACGGCCCATCCGCTCTTCAAGCCCTAAGCGAAATCCCAGAGTGGAATAAAAGCTGGATAACTCTCGTTACCTATAAAGAGGACGGAAGGATCTGCTCGAAAACCGATATATTATATCCCCACACGGTACCAAAGGAGTCTTTACTCCCTGATTACCCAATAGTGGACGTTTCCAGCTTAAATACCATTACCAGACCTTCCTCTCGTACATCAGAAGTCTCTTACGGCGACAAGGAATTATACCTGAAGATTGCAAGGTTTCCTTTTGAACTGAAATGGATAAACCAAGAGATAAAGGCCTATCACGCTTTACGAAAATCTTCTCTGGTGCCGGGACTACTAGGTTATGCCTGTGAATCACAAGATCATAATCGTGTTATTGGCTTCTTGGTTGAAAAGGTCAATGGACACTATGCAGAACTCGAGGATCTTCAGACCTGTACCGAAGCGCTTGAAAAGCTACATGGTTTTCTTATATACGGTGATATATGTAAATATAATATTATTGTTAGCTCAGAGGGGCCAAAGTTTATTGATTTGGAAGACTCAGTCCTGGTAGATACAGAGAAATGGAGTACTGAGCTAAAGGATAATGAAAGACAGAGTATAGCTAGCAAACTAGCGGATGATTCTGGAGCAGGACGTCCTTGGTAGTCATTCAGGATTACTACAAATTACAAATTGGTTTTGAATAAGTATGGGTAGATTGTTTTTTTTCCTTCCTCTCCACAGAACAACATATCCCTCCCTTCGATTTATGCGTTGAATATTTCTCGAATTTACTGTTTACCTCGTGTGCATATGTATAACGAATATGCCACTGGGTGCACTTGGTCAGAGCCATTTGGGTTTTGTAGGCGTCTAGACTAGAATAATTATTAGTAGGTAAGAATATAAGGAAAAAGGGGTTTGACTGTACTACTTTGGAATAAGTGGCTAGTGATGTGAATTTAGTAGAGAAAGAAAGATGAAAATGTAATTATCGATGGGCCTGGTGTGTTTTATACTTATTTCTTGAGCAAGACGGAGAGTCAGACCATGCGGGGAAAGACTACAAGTGTCGTGTGAAGAGAGACCACGTGTCGACGGCCATATAGCTATATATGATCAGCTGCTCGATTGGGCCAATTGCAGAATGTTGGCTGCGGAATTTTACACTACTCTCACCGTTACGGACAAGCTGGAGAGCGAAGTCTATATTAGCATACGGGCTAACAAAAGTGTAACTTTGCTGTTACTATGTTATATTTTTATCCACACTATGGTCAGCCTTACCTCGTCCAAAACAGCCTTTTTTAGATTGTTACTAAATAAAAAAGCGAACACTTGTTTCTGTTAACCCTGTATAGCGACTTTAGTAGTATTGTGTTATAATCTTATCTATAAATACTATAATCAGCTATATTCCGTTTCTGAGAAAGTCTTGATAAGCTAGAACTAGCCTTCTTATGGATATACTTAGATATATATATATATATCAGCTATTACGATGATAAGTTCGACCTAGCTCATATATAATGATGCGAAAACGTGAGAGAAGTGACCAAGTTATTACAATGGATAGGAAGACCCTGAAAAATAATAGGCTAATGAGATTACTCTGTGAAACCTTGGATCGGAGCTCTGATAAAGACTATCTTAGGGATAATATAACTAGCACAGATGACGACGAGAATACTAGTGATGAGAATGCTGATTCTATTCAAGACAGCGAATATACTGACTCTGAAGAAGAGGATTCTGTGAATGAAGAGAACTCTAGTAACGAGGACGATGGCACTGACTACGAGGACTCTTTCTATGATGAGTCTTACTCGGACGACCTTGACTCTGATAACTCTGATTCCGATACCGGAAGCCTCTACTCCGAAAACTTTAGTAATGTCGATTCTTCCAGCGAGTATAGTGTCAGGTGATATGACAGCTTTTGTTACGTATATGATCTTGCCGCTATCTAAATGACAAGGTATAATACTATTTTATCTGCCACTGGGATCATATGACTAGGTTTATCTATATTGATTATATTCGGAAGAAAAATTTCAGTAGAAACCTCAATTGGAAAATATAAAGGAATTTAGCTTATATATAGTTTAATTTGAAGTAATATGTCTGTCAAAGAAGGGACTTTTTTCTCAAAGCATTTAAGATAAAACTATATCCCTGAATTCTCAGCGCTTTTAAACAAATATACTCTATATAGGGAGTTTCTACAGCTAAAAATATATAGAATAAGAATTTTTCTTTACAGTATTGATATTGTACAGTATATAATGCGTTTGTAAAAAACGTCCGTTAAATAAGTACAGCTAAAAATGGATTTACTTGCTGATTATACTGTGCTTATTATATCAAAGCCGTTCCTTGCTTAATCGAACTAGAAAATACTATATAGGCTGCTGAACTTTTTGTTCACGGAGATTCGCTATCGCTTTTACAATGGCAAGCTAATTACTATCAAACTGTGCAATTATTCCTGAACCCTGTAACGCTACAGTTTCAGTTTGCCTCTTACTTCTACAAAGTCAACATGCTCAGTTGTTGCGGTGGAAGGCACTTGCTGAGAGCGAATTGTCGCAGAAAGAACAATTAGCCCGATTAAACAAAGATCTAGAAGCTCAACTGCAGTCTTACACCACTGGTGCACAGACCGAGGGTCAAGAACATTATTGGAGTAAGGAAGCTACCCCGGCTAGACTTGTGGCGCTCACTTAAGCCCCTTAAGTAATTGATGGATATGGGGATCAGTCGCACTTGGCCCCTATTGAATAAAGGACCTTGACTATTCTCTCCTGAACCCGTGAGAGCATTACAGGCTGGGTTGGTTGTTTATCGCTAGAACGTCTTATAAGATATTCAAATATTACCGGTCTTTCCTGTTATTCTCTTTTTTAATAAAAGTCCTATATTGAAATCTTCAGAGCATAGTACAGTATATATATATAAAGCAGTAGTGTATCTATTAAATACAGCGTTAGCCGAAAGGACTATCCGGTTTATATTCAAGGAAAAAAAACCCTATCCAAAGAATAGCTGTTTATAGGCAAGGAGCTGCTTATATTATAGGGGAGAATATATTACATAGGTCTTTTTGGTTACTAATGCATAAAGGCTAGTAACTAGCTTTTAATAACATTGGACGCCCGAGAGGTTGGATTTTGATATATTCCGGCAGGATTATAAGTATTTATTCTCCGCCAACTATCCTAATTATATAGTTCAGTTAATAAACGATTTTACCTGTACCTTTTTACTAATAGATCCGAAATACTAGGAATAGGTATCCCACTCTTATACAATTGATTTAGAATGATATTTTCAATAGCCTAAGAAAAGGTCAGAAAAAAAAAATTGACATTAGCCCTGAACCAGCTCATAAAGTATCCCGCCTGCCCCTTTTATATGTTGTAAAAAACAGCGACTATAATAGCATTTGTGGTTTACCAAATATTAACTATAGGGAGCTCAACGAGACAGATAATAACAGCAATACACCTCTGTGGTAGGCTGTATATAAGGACTACGATTCAATCGTCAGTCTACTCTTAGAGATGGAGAGCGTCGATATAGACTCCAGGAATTCCGATGGGTTAACACAACTTTCGCGGTTATTGAAGAAACTATACTAGTACTGCCAGGATCTTGATCAAGGCAAACAACCTAATAACAGAGTTATTTCATTCCGTAGTAGAAGCAAAAGGCGGATAGTTGTTTCAGCTGACCCAGCAGAATGCTGAGCATAGCAGAGCAGTCTTAATTATGTCTTTATTCTAGTGATTGAAGATTGAAATCTATCTATCCCAGCTCCGCCTTTAGGCGGACTAATATTAGTCCGAGAATAGTAATCCAATGCCAAAGTGAGATAAGCAAAGACCTATGTTACAGCGGGCCGACCTTTATGAGGTCTAGGAAGCCGAAGGTATATCTACCGCCTGGACCAATATCTAGCATTTATACGATACCTAAGGGCGAATAATAAGCAAGAACGAGACAGAACTACAATATCCTGCATGAAATCTAATTGGCGATGTCATGTGGTAAATGGTGCTACTGGGTATGTTAAGTGGGCGAGGTAATTAGCGCAGCAGGAGCCGAAACCAGCTTTTTTTGCTGTAAAAATCGTGGTCCACTTATGTGTGTCTGAAAGTGGTAAAAATTGACTTTACACACAAATCTATTCTATAGTGCCTGTACTCCGTACTGTATAGTACTGCATTACGTACATGTACATAACATACAGTATATCTGGCTGTAGAGCAAGCGGCTTGAAGCACCTCCAATAACAAGTGGCATAGCCGCCAACCCAATACAACATGATAATGCTCAAGACACAGCACGTTACGATATCTACCGCATGCGAGTCGCGGAAACGCCGGCCTCGTAAAGATCCACTGGTGGATAACATTATATCGCGTGTAACTAAACTAGAAGAGACTCAACACAACCTTCGTGTCTCTATTCAATCGTTACAAGAAGAAATCACCCTCCTCCGATAACAATTTCGTCCGAATGTCCTAGACAAGTCACCTCAATATAATGAGATGGCGATAACAACCGAGTTACCAGACAAAAGTTGTTGGGAGGGACAATTCTTTAACGAAGCCCATGATAGTATACACTCGTTTGGGCCTATGAGTGTGGATTGGGGCGTTGCTAGTGAAGATATGGGTTATCTTGGGTCTAATTCAGTCATATGGACTGCTGAGGAGCTTTTACTTTCAAATGAAGTGGTGAAGTGAATCAAGTCATCAATCCTAGCGATCAATTAAGCTTTTTTTTGATAAGAACTCCTTGCTTTTCAAGACAAAACATCGGAATTTAGTTTGAGAATTTATTTTCTTCATCTCTAACACCTCTACATACGAGTCCTATAAGATGTCACGGAACCAATTTAAGTTTTCAGCATCAAGATAAATTAAAAGTTTCTAATGTGTTTGCCCAAAACTAGCAAACCAAAATATCCTGCAAATGAGCCAATAACTGTGATCTATCTTGTTTGTTGTTTTCGGAGCTTTGGAGAGCGTCACAGAACGCCCGGTAATGGCGCTGGGTTTCTAGTGACAGACGAGAAATAAGATTCTCCTTCGGCCTTTTTTGAAATGCTTCAACGAGCCCTTGGGAGATATTATCTTTTGTCGTCTAACTAGGCTCCCATAGTATTCGGCACATTTCTTTCTGAGTTTTCTGGTCAACAGTAGTCGCAATAATCTTCATTGCTAGCCACCCGCCAGCCATATCCTTTGGGGGAACCCTTCCTCTCCTTGGTTTCCAATTGGAAGTTTTCCCCACTCGAATATTTTTATCATATCTCCGTGTTTGGGACTCAGCAATTCTTTTGCTGTGCCTGATTCGGGTTGGCCCAGACTCTACGCGTTTATCTCTGGTTCCATTGGTTGGCACTTTAGAGCAATCAGTTTCGCTAGTGCAAGGCGGCATCTGTAGCTCATTCTGTGGCCCTCGCTCCAATTCCAATGTACGTTGTGCTGGTTGTGTGAGCGTAATGATGCCATCTTGCGCTGTGGCGATGCCGCCCTCAACTTTGCTCTTAGGAGGAACCATGATAGGGGACACCTTATTTTCCACCGTAGTATGGCGCACGGTATGTATGTCGTGGGGTCTTTCGGGCACTATAGATCGATCTCGCGGGTTGACAGTTTGACAGTTGTACCTTGTGTCTAGTTGGCATGGAGTGCCTAGATCGGCGGCTTCTTTAGGCAGTTGGGCTCCCCTATAGTGATAGAACTCATGCGCCCGGTAGATTTGGTCGTCCACTGGCAGCTGCTTGCCCGCAAGGCTTGGAAGTACCCCTGTGCTTCGATCGCTCTCAGGTACTATAACCGAGTATTCTTCTTAAAGGGGTTTCCCCTCTATTGGCCCATGAGCTATTTGCTGTGAACGCTGAAGATCGACAGAATCAGGGGCAATTTTGGAGAAAGGATACGACAGGTCGCCTTTTTATACACATATCGTTAGTAATAATAAGGAGTGAGAGAATTCCAACCTACCAGAGTTAAACGCTGGATACCTTCCATGATCGATGGATCCAGCTTCCTGTGGTTTATCGTCAGATGTATTCTCTCCGGGGGTATTTGATATGGATATATCTGATTCAGAATCCGAGTCGACTGCCATTGCTTCCTTATCTCCTTGGTTATTACGATGGGAGAAAGTCTGGTGCCGCACTGATAGATGCTTAGTCGCTAATATATCGCCGTCGAGGATGGACTGGGGTAAAATAAGGTCGGCGTCTGGTTGTAAGGATCAAAGACTTTTATATATTCAAGGATATATACCTGGAATTTAATAGTGGGAAATATAGTATTTAAATATATATTCATGATTCTTTACAGGTGGTGTATTGAAAGGTACTGAGAATAATGTCCGAGTAGGATTTTACAGCTCAAAAACTAAAAATCTTATCTTATTCAGTCTAGATTACCGAAATACTGTTTTAATAACAAAATAGGCTTACTGCGAATTTACTATATTATCTATTCTTTAATATTGATATTACTAAATCTATTACTAGGAACATTCCTCCAATTTGGAGTTATGTAATACTCGGAGCAGTACGTGGGCTTTTCCTAATAGGCTTCTATATAATATTAATACATAATATACAGCGTCCTAGTAAGATTTTTCAACCAAGCCAAACCATTACCCTCTGTTATCTAGCAGAAAAATGGCTAAAACAGGCTGGTTCATATTGAGTAGATCTATCCTGCGTGCTCGTATATATACTCCATACACCTCTATATATAATTAAAGCCCTTAACTATTAGGTTGGAAAACGGAATTCTCTGCGCTATTTTGGAGGACTTTGATAAAGTCAAGAAGAAACTTTTGAAGTTCAGTTTCTCTATTGATATAATATTGTAGCTGTTGTTCCAGAACCTGCTGTTATATAAGAAGCCTTTCATTGGTTTCCTCTACGAGCTGCCGTAATCTTAACTCTGTATCCAGTAAGGTTGATATCTGATTCAATTGTATAAGGAGGCTATTATTTTCACTCTGCATCTGATCAATCATAGCACTTGAGCAGCCTTCTGACTCAGACAACTAGTCTAGGTTAATAGAGGCCAGCTTTTAATATGGGACGACGGACATTATTATCAGAATTTGCATCTATAGGTACCGCGCGAAAGGCTTCTCTCTTGACCCCATTCGGTAGAAGGCGATACGTGTTAATAGAGTGTGAGCTTAGGGTTTTGACGAAAATCGGTTCAAAGAGCTTCTTCTGGTCATCACGAATAACCCATCTATAGGGGTCTTTTAAGGCCGGGCTTAATCTAACCTAAGAGGGCGGAATTGAGATGCCTAATTCATGAACTACTGATTGGTCAGTAACTGCACGATACTCGTTCCAAATTACCTGCAAATTTGATTTACCAGCAGCTCCCTGCATTTATCTCTCTCACAACAACGGTCAGCATTGCCTTGCCGAATGGAGGGCATGTTCCCAAGAGTAGGATAAGATATAGAAGTATTAACTATATACAAAAGCAGGAAGGTTTTACAATATTAGCACCTATTTACTATACCAGAGGCCTAAAATAACTGTTAATACAAAATCATATTAAACTGTAGTATTGGACTTTAGCCATGATTTTTTTCAGCAGGAGAGGTAGTTTTTTACCCAGTATCATAAGATACGAAAATCTTATATATATACAATGTTAAAATATACAGCTAAGCAATTTTAAGCCGAATATCTCTCTGCTACGCCCTTTTTCTCTTCCTCCGATTTTGTCTTACCCCTCGCTTGCGATTATCTGGATGTACTATATTCTCAGAAATCCACCAGCATAAATCCTTTTCGCTACCAATATAATCCTTAAACCGTACGCAGTACTCCAGTTTTCCATTTTTCACTCTTGTCTTCTCTACTTCAACTCTATTTTTGAAACCTTGGTAGTTCTTTATAATATTATCAATAAGCTGTATATTATTGATGTTCTCCTCTGGCTCCCAGGTTGTACCCCCATTAGCCCACCTTATCAGAAACAGGGTATGATTACGGTCTTTGTATATTTCAACTAATTCCTGGACTCCATAGGTATTATCGAGGTCATGCTGGTCGCCAGGTGAATGGATAGTATTTCCTATATCCGGGGTTGGAAATAGAGCCTTTTTCGGATATTGGACGGAGTGGCTATTTTTGTCCTTGCTATTCGAAGCTTCCAAATCAATCATGCTGCCGGGGGCGGTATCGGATGTGGCAATCGAGGTGGCCTGAAGTGCAATTTCTAATCCCCTTTCTGGCTCCACGGTGGGCGATAGAGGTGGATGGTTGCTCTTGAGTGAATCCATTTCGGAAGTATCTGATTGCCTGTGCTACAAGCGTTCAACTTCTGGCTTTTCTCCACGGTCTGTATCTTCCCATAGTCTAGGATTAATCCATTTCTCTTTATTGATGGCTGAGCGGCTTGTCGCTAAATCTTTTCGTATATTTTCTGTTGAGGATATTGCAACTTCCAATTGAAGATCATACTCAATAATGTTACATTGCCCGACGGGTAAGAGGTGGGGTGATCCAAGTTGGTTCTAAATGTTCGGCGAGTGAGAGCCAGAATTAGCGGCACGGGGAGCGAGGAAGGACCCTGAAGATTGACGTCGCTTTTTGGTTGGACGGAATAAATTATCAAGCTCTTCGTTCTTCTGGTCAGGATTTTTTGAAAATTTGAATTTGAGCGGTAGGTTCACTCTTGGCTTTATGGTGCTTATGCTATTAAGTCTGTTGATTTCTAGCTGTACGCTGTGAACATCTGCTAAATGATCGAGAAATGTTTGCCGGTTATTGAAACTGTGGGTGCTATATATAGGGTGTGGGCAAGGTATCTGGCCCTGGAATTTTTGGATATACGTAGGGATGCACTCTGAAATATGCTTTGCCTATGGGCCTACCAACAGAAACTGCTTTATTCGTTTAGTAGGTGTGAGAGTGGTGTCGCCCAAATGAACGGGACAATAGCCAGCGCAAGCTGTGGCATGGCGAAAGACAACGGGGTTACATCGAGTCGGAATATCAGGCAAAGATAAAGTAGATAATTAATATTATACTATTAATTAGAACAGGATTATATACAGCTAGCGGTTTACTTTGGATATATTGCTTCTGGTAATATTATAATAATATTTAGAGAAGAGTATGATCAGATTATAAAGCAGGAGAGTATTACAGTAAAAAGCAAAATAGGTATTGCAAATATTGTTAGATAACTATTTTAACAGGGGCCATTTCTTAGCATATAACAAAGCAGGCTTGTACCTCAAGGTACTGGTACTAGTTGATCTAACAATGCCTAATTCTGGCCCTCCTATAAATTCCTACCCTCCTAGAATATTTAAATCTCTCTTCGGTCGCTGCATTTACCCATACCATTGCTGCTCGAGTGCTTTAAATACAGGCTAAAACGCAGCCTTTATTCACTCTTCAAATCTTCAAATAACAACTTACACAGTCTACGCAATGGCTGAGCTCTCAATTTCACCCTAAAAACGTGACAGAACGAATGAGAATGTCGCAAAGGCTATCAAGGGCCTTATGCGAAGAGGTGATAAGATAAGCAGTCGTTTTAATGCTGATGTCTATATTGTGGTACGATGAAATAATCGATATTGGGACTATAATTCATCTAGTAGCTCATTGTTCCCCCCCAGTCTTGTAGTAATTGTGGGTGATCTTAAATATTGATCTACCTAACACTTGGTGAGCTAATTTTATTGTAGGAACAAGCTTATCCACTGGCTGTGAGGAGATCTCCAGCAAGCTTCCAGTATACCCAGAATACTATACCATCATCACCTACTTCTAACTCAACTACTGGCCAGACAAGCTCAGGAAATAAGGATAGCTAAGACTAGATTTAATTAATATTATTAGAATTGCTATCGCTATTAGATATGTAATAAAAAGTGGTCCTTTAGACTCATGGCACGACTACTACCTACGTAAGCATCGGGATGATGTACCTGGGATATTGCTTATCAGCAGTTGTAGCTAATGGGGGGTTGGTAGGTTCGCTCGTGTTTGCGAACTTGAGAGCTCGCATTTTTGGTGTAACCCCCAAGTGCAAACTCAAGTGCTAGATCATTCCTCACCTTCCTCTTTCAATATATCATTTACAAAGGAGTAGAGTAGCGCACAATACCAATATTTCATATTAATAACCACATCATTATATATTGCATCAGCGGAGCGACCTTTGGAATATTCCTTACCGTCACCCGATGATTAGTCCCTGGCATGATATTACGTAAGATAGTGCGCCGGAGTGACTTCGGAGGATCTTCGGGTCCTCTACGATCAAGCTCTTGAGATACGCACCAAAGATGCGCTTTTCCAGATTAGTGTGCGCTTCGGTTAACACACAATCTCATGGCCTTAGGTAGAAATTACATTAGTCATCTATATACCCTCGCAACAGAAACAATCAAAAACATACTACAATGGGATATGAGTTCAGCGTCAGCATCCGTCAATGGAATTTTGTAAAATTGGCCCAAGCCTGGATTAACTGTGGCGTACATAATCTGTGCAGTGTGTCAATAGTGCGAATTGGATTCTTGTTATCTTCTAATGATAATATCAAACAAGTGCCTTGCTATGCCAGTATCAATAATCAGCGCTATATGCAACCGGCCCAGTGTACGTCCAAGAATCAAATAACTCTCTGCTATTATTTGAAGCCTATTTCTGCTCATCGGATTGTACAAGAATATAGCATCTAATATGGTGTTGTACTGGAAGCTGAGCCCTTATGTAAATAGAATCACCGGGATGAACCAGGCTTACCGGTTTCGTGGGATCGCCAATTGCGAAAATGACCAACCTTTGTATATATAAATTTCCGTAAAGACCCGTGATATAACTTCTGCTCTTCCGAATCGGGGACCTTTGTACCAGCCGAGGGCTGAAGTAGGTTTTGAAAGGAGCGTATTTGTTGTAACAACCCCTGTGTCTTGATGCTGTGGATTGTATCGGAGTGATTTTCTCCAAGGATATATCGGCGATCATCTAGGGCGATGTTTTGAAGCACTTCAGCTTCATTGTATCGGCCCTGCTTATAGTATGTCTTAGTATAATATGCTACCCTCTCATGAGAAGTGGGGAAAATGCTCGTGCTAGATCCTGGGTCCGTTGCTCTGCTAGGTTATTCGATATCGGCTTCGTAACGGAACCGGCCGTCATTGTTAAAGCAGCTGTAAATAGGGGCACCTGAGCCCATCTCATGACCGAGTTAAACTGATTTATTCCTGATTGTGGTAGATATTTTGGACCCAGGTAACGCTCTAGACCTTTTGAACGTTGTCATCTTTTCTATACTTCGGCAGGTAACGGAACACTTCGTTAGTGCTCTTTTGCAGAGCACGGTTCGATTCTCGAGTTAAAAGCCTACCCCGATCATTGCTCTACTGTTTCGTGCCGAAGCCCTTCAAGCGGGAGAGTATTATCTAATACATAACCAGGTGTTGAAGGCTCATTGTAGGAGGAGCAGTAGAACAGTTAAATACCGTTCTATAAGTTGATCTTATCTGGAATCCCTACGAATCAGTTCTCGAATTATACCTTTTATAATACAGCTGCTTATCTATTATAAGACTTAAGTATATTCTACTGTATCTTATTAATAAGGTCTTCTAATACCTCTTTGCTTATATTAGCAGGAAGGTACTACTTAGGATATAAGTTTATATATAGAGGCTGGATACTAAACTGATTATTATTATTAAGTAGAAGTAGTAAAGCTAGCAAACTGATTTACTAGTTATAATAAATATATTCCTATCCCAAAAGTCCAATAGCTTAACCTTTCTTACTATAGTAAGATAGTTATATATAGACCTCTGTATAAATAAAAGTCTTAGTCTTCCTATTAAAGATCTATTTATAGATCTCCGATTTGAGCCCGTATTTCTAAAGCTTAGTAACATTATCTCAGAACTCTTCTAGGTTGTCTTTAGGAAAAGTATAGTACAGTATATCTATTAATCTTACTAACTTAAGTAGTACAGCCTGCTTTTGCTTTGCAGATTAAATATAGTTAACTTTAAAGCTCCTGAAAACTTCATGCTATTTTATTATTACCTTAATAACTATCTCGGACACCTGATAATATAAATAGAGGTACCTAAGATAATAATAGAGTTTATACTATTTATAGGCCTGGTTATAATTATCCTACCTGGTATAATAGTTAATCTCTCCGCTAAGGCTGCTATTCTTACTTACCCCTATAGCTTTAATAAAAGTCTTATAATCTCCACTAATACGGAAATAAAGGAAGCTATGCACGTATACCTTTATACAGACGAGTATGAGCCTGCGGTAATTGAAGCTGTGTTAGAGTATCTCTATACTGATATTTAAACCTATTCAGACTCTACTGCTAGCCAGGCTATTTTCTATATAGATGTTAACGCGGTTGCTGATTACTGTTAAATCGATGGTCTCTTGAAGCTATCAGAAGATAATCTCGGGAACTTCTTAAATGCAATAACGCATGTAAAAATAACTTCCTGTTATTGTTAAGGCAGCTACAGAAAAGCAAGTCGATTGAAAGTTACAGTCCTTAGTTGTATCGGCCTTAGTAAGATTCATGGAATCGCTTATCGATAATCCGGACTTTACGTTACTAGATCTTCCCAAAGACTTCAGAAATCTTATCTTTCGAGCGTGTGTATCCCGGATTGCCTATATAGGCCAGCGACAGCTGAAGCCCAGGCCAAGCTTAACGCGAGCCTTCAGTCCTGTAATTGCGCACTTAGGATACATCAACTTCCGGGGCTTGAGAAACGGCTTGCCTTTAGACGACCTTGCTCCTAAAATATAAATATGTCTTAAGCTATCAGCTATTGTAGCACGATCATCGAATATTTGAGTTGTAGAATAACTTATCGTACTGTCTGCTGCAATGTGAACAGGATTGAAGAATAGTAGCTAGGTTGCTGCTAGTCTGGCTAATGTTAACGGGAAGGAATGGAACTAGAATCGCATGGCATGATGAAATATATAGGGCAGTAACGCTATACAATATGTGCTGAGAGTATGTAAGAGAGAATTAAAAGTTAAGGATATGTTGTCAACCTTGTTAGAGTGGCCTGGAAGTGGCTGCTGGGAGTTGCAAATACTGCGTTGGAGAAATAATATGATAGAAGTTGATTTGATATGTACTGGCTCCCTAATGGTCGATTTGGTTGAAATAAAGATACTATATCTTGCGTGGGCGGCCACGGGGCCTTTTTGTAGAGTCCTTGTTGTTGTTGCTCATCTTTCCTTGTCTATGACTCTTTGTAGCCTTTTTGAAAACTCCAGCTTCTTGTGCGAGCTGAGCGGTCTGGCTCCCAGTCCTCTTGCCTCCTTTCTGTTGATGTGTCTTTGACTTCTTCCACTCCTTAATCAGCTCCCTTATGTTTATACAGTTCTCCTCTGGTACAGGTGTTGGTTTCCACTCCACTGTGTAGTATAGCTTCCTGTTGATTAACTCTTCGCCTATGATTTCGACAGCTTCCCATTTATCCTCGGATATTTTATCCACTACCGGAGGGGTGGGAGGATCCTCTGCGGACGGACTTATACTAGCATGCTCATTCCTTGCCTCTGTACCGCTGTTCTGGAGACTAGCTATCTTAATACTTATCTGAGTAGCAGGAGCCAGGTACAGTGCCTCAATAGAAGAGTCTGTCGGGGGATTGGCAGTTTCGTCATATATAGGAGCGGGATCCGACTCGATTTGTGCATGCAACAGCTCCTCGGCAGCAGAGGGCTCTTTATTATATATATCTTTCTTGACAATATTGACTGACGCGTTAAGACAGCTGTTGGTAGGTGCCAAGAAAGTTATGTCCAGAGACTGCGGAGGCCTGCTACTCTTGATATTCTGATCCCAATTTGTATCTTTATCGATAATAATGGCATAATCTATAGTCTTCTGTTAGCTCTGGCTTTTCGGGCTCTGGAATAGAACCAGTACATACCGTGAGACTTGCTACTAATTTCAGAATTACCATCTGCCTGGACATGGGAAGGCGAACTAGTTATATCGTCTAGCGAAGTAGAAGTGCTCGGCACGCTTGGCTTGGCGCTAGTGTTGCTGTTTGGCCGTTTGGCTCCCTACAGCTCTTCAATCGGTGGGAGCTCATCAGGTGAGCCAGAAGTCTTATCTTTTTTTACTTCAGTTAGCGTATAGCTTGCTTATATGCTGACCCTGTTTCTCATACCGGTGATCTCGTCCAAAGTCTCCTGAGCATACTGGGGAGGCCATATATTATTAAGATTCTCAGCCGTATTCGAGATCTGGGTGCATTTTGGAGGCAAAGAAACTGCATGTTGTTTCCTCTTTAACTTTTGTGGCCTGAACTGCGGAGGTTCGTATTGCCTGAATTCGAAAACCATCTTGAGAATGGGTTGTAGGCAGGTTTGGGCTAAGAGTCGAGGTATTTGGATCAAAGTAGTGTAATATACTTGGGCTGATGCAGAAGTTGATAGTAGATGTAAAGTTAATGTATTGTGCGAGGAGGGAGGGCCTTATTTTATAGACAGAGCCCCTTCGCGGTCCTGTCCCCCCTCTCCCCCTCTTCTATCCCTTCTAACACTTAAAGACATGGAGCTCAGGCTATCTACCCGAAAATGAATTGTGGTAAAAGCGGGCTCCTCGGATTCCATGCGCTGACTTTCCTGATTTAATCGTCACCACTAAACGTAACGAGACAAGCCTTATGCAGTTGGTGAGATTAAGGGGCTTGGCCGACTGCATATTGAGACTGATTACTCTTAAGACTGTCTGGGTACCAGGTAGACTGACGTAAGTATACGACCAGATATGGTAAACAGTTCGGCTGGTGGGTTTGCTCGTTCTATAGTGGCGAAGTAGTAAATATTCCGATCCTGCTCTCGCTTTATCCATGTATAGCCAAGTTATACATGAGATTGTCCTTCGACCAGCTTTCTTACTCCTCTTGCTGTGTTTTTATATATGCCGTATATTTATATATATTTGATGTGATAATAGGTGAATAGCTTTAGAAACCCTCAGAGTTGGAATAGTTCTTCCTGGGCCCAATATTTCAGCCAGTAGACAGAGAATAACATTGTGGGAACGTATATATCTCATTCTTATCTCACACCGACTGATACTGAGGTACCTTGTTAGCCCCGTCGGGCTATAGTATTGATACAGGCGATCATGTTATCCTTCAGTATTTCAAGGATACAATCGGAAAGAGCGGTATCATCACAGGCTGGGTCTAATGTGATCGAGTCAGAGCTCAGCATGCGGTGCCTTGGCTGCTGCAGGTAACACACTATCGTACTCTGCTTGGGTATCTAGCCATGTCTAGCACCGCCGCGCAATCACGCTCAAGGCAGATTTGATATCGTTGGCGGTCCAAAGGAATTCATAGTATACAAAAGTTCGATAGCCTGCATGAGCTAACGACAGTACACTCTTCGCTTAGCGATGATAATGATGGTAGTCCGCCTCTATGAAACTCATGCCGCCCTATCCTCGCTCTGGCGCCATCTTCCTAATGTATACACCTTCTAACTCGGGTAAAGGAGTTAAGATGATAGAGAATTATCGACGGCGTAGCTGCCCCTTGATCAAGGATACCAGATATAAGATGGAGGCTGATACGGACTGTTGGCTAAGTCCGAATAAACCAAAAACACCTTGTAGATCCGCTCAAGAGGCAACCTATTGACTTTGATAGTACAGAGATGAGACGGCAAATGTGCCACGCTACCCGATCACTCAATACGCAATCTCAGCTAGCGCCAGCTGCCTAAAGATCGTTGTACTACCTTCAGTGATCATTTTCAAGACGCTGGCCTAGCTATGTAGTAAGATAATGTCGAATACTCAGCAGAGTCGTCGCCTTGTAATAAAGGAGCAGGAAAAATAAGACCTCCAGCATAGTGTCAAAAATACCAAATAAACAATGACTGCGGAGGATAGAGACGGTTTGCGGATTGGATAGCTGATAAATATAAACATATTGTTTGGGTTGTGGTTGGGCTAAGAGTGGTAGGCACGTGATAGCGAGGCCAGAAAATAGGAGGAAAAAGGAGACTGCAGAGGTATATAGCAGGGGCAGTAGGGGACTGGCCGCTTTATAGTCGGCGTAAAAGCAGCAAGTAATAACAGGGCCGAAGATTTCCCGATATAGCATCCGCCCGAATTAGCAGGCTGGACCCGCCATTTCCGAAGGCGGGCAAGCCGTGCCATTTTTAACTACTATATTATACTATAGAACCCTATTATAGAGCTAACTAGCTATATCTAGATATATTTCTAAAGCTAAAAGGTTATTTAGAAATTCTAATTTAGTAAATATAGCTAGCCTCTTATTAGTCTTACTTATACTATTACTATTTATAATATATCCTAAGAGCTTAATACTTAGATATATAATAAATAATTTCTTAGTAGAGATATAGATATAGTTTTCTTCTAGGATCTAAAGTATCTCTTCTATATACTAAAGATACTCTTTAGCTGAATCTGAGAATATAATAATATTATTAATATAGGCTTATATAAAATACCTATACCTCTATAGGATTCTATCTATAAACCTTTAGCTAAAGCTTAGTAAGTTCTAAAAGCCTATTAAGACTATATTTAATACTTTAAGATCTCTTTTAGAGATAACTACTATCCAGTTATAATACTCTAAGAAGATAGATAGCTAGAAGAAGAATTTAACTATATTAAATATACTGAAGAATTTCTTTTCTTTTATATTTAAGATTATATTATTTTAGTCTAATAATAGATATATATCTAATATAACTTTACTATTAAGTAGCTATAGATTAATTACTATATAGCTCTTCTTTTTACCTTCTACTATATACTATACTATAAATACTAGGTATATAATCTAGGCTAGTTAATCTATTAGATTTATTTTCCCTTCTACTACTAGCTTATTATATATTTTATCTAGGAACTAGTAGTTATTATAATCTAATAGGTAGGAATAGACTATCTTTCTTTAGTCTTACTATCTATTAATTAGGTCTACTCTTATCTTTATCTCTTTAGATATTAGGATTATACCTCTATTATAGTAGATATTATACTTATCTAATAGCT